GCAGTACCCAGAGAGGGTATCAGATTGCCCGTAAATTGAGGTTTGGGTTTCTGCCCTACGCAAAGTTGAGTGCATGGCCAGTGCCCTTGAGGAACTGAGTGTCTGTAGGAGAAGCGACGTGTGCACAGCTCACAGTGATCCTAGGCAGAGCGGCACATGGGCTGAGTAGACTCACCTGCTACCTGCTGTGATGGCTTCAAGGAGGGAGCAACTAATTGTGACCAGAAGGACTGGGGTGGGGACAGGTTTACAAAGAAGGAGCATTTAGGGAATGGCCTGGGCTGGAGAACAGGTGAGCAAGGGGCTCTGTCATGAGGGTGGGTTCATGCTTATACTCTGTAGGCAATAGGGAGCCACTGTGGGTTTTTGAGAAGGAGAGAGAGGCATGATCAAACTCCCATTTTAGAATGTATCTGGCAGCAATGTGAAAAATGAGTTGGCTGTCAGAAACTGGAGGGATTACCGAAGGAGAGAAACCTGCCCCATCTTCCTTATGTGACTCACTTTTGCTGTGAGTCTCTATCAAGTCTCATGTCGATGGAAAAAAGCCAAACTTTGTAAAATAATTTTAAAGAGATTTATTCTGAGCCAAATTTGAGGACCATGACCCGGAGCCACTGCCAAGAGGCCTTGGGCAAGTAGACTCGCTGTGGCTGGGTTACAGTTCAGTTTTATACATTTTCAGAGAGACAGGGGTTACAGGCAAAGTCACAAATCAATACATGAGAGGCATACATTGGTTTGGCCCAAAAAGGTGGGACATCTCGAAGGGGGGGGGCTTACAGGTTATAGGTGGGTTCAAAGATTCTTTGGCTGGCAATTGGCTGAGAGAGTTAGACTTTATCTAGAAGACCAGAAAGGATATGCTTACTTTAAGATAAGGGTATGAGCACTCTGGGAGGTCCAGACAGGAGGACATTTTAAATTTACAATAGGCGCCTGCTAGGATGCTTGAGTTAAGATATTTTAAATTTATGATAGGCATCTGCTAGGATGCTTGAGTTAAGACAGGGGCTTCCCATCTTTCAGGTGATGTTAATGCCATACCAGAATCAAGTTGGGAAGTAAACCACCGCTTTATTTGGTTAACAAAAGCCGCTTAGTAGGAATTTACCATTTGTCAGCCTGACCCAGCTGGCCTCCTTAGGAAAGAGTTTTTAGCAAAAGAAAAAGATCAGAGTTCAGTCCTCACTCACTAGGAGAAGTTTCGTAAATTTCTAAACAAAGACCTGCAGGCCTGCTAGTGGGGTAGGCGTAAGTTCTCCAAAACAGTGCTGAGTTCAAGTGCTCTGCAATTTTATGATCTGGACTATTCCACTCTGACAGCAAATATGGGTGGGTTTTCCCACCACCAACACCAGCTGGGTATCCTACCATTGAATTCTGACCCTGTCTACCTGGAGTTAGAATCAGATCCCACAAGTTAAGGGCCAGTCCTACAAGACTGTCCCCACTTCTGTATCCAACTGCAAGTCCTAGGCCCTTGTACTTTTGACTGACCAGCTACAAATCAGGGGTTCCCACAAGCCCCTCTTCGGGTTCAATAATTTGCTAGGATGACTCACAAAACTCAGTGCTAATGGGGGGAAAAAACCCCAAATTCCATAAAATAATTTAAAGAGGTTTGTTCTGAGCCAATATGAGTAACTACAGCCTGGAGACACACAAACCCAAGAAGTCTCGAGTTCGTGGTCCTGAGGCAGTCTGACTTCCCTTCATGGCCCAAAACTCAGTTTTAGGTTTTTTCTGGGGTCCCCTTGGCCAAGGTGGGGTCCGTTCAGTTGGTGGGGGGCTTATTTTTAGTTTACATCAGGAAAACAGTCTACTTACTGTTATTAGTTTATTATAAAGGCTATTTAACAGAGGGAACAGCCTGAAAAGGTTAAAATGTTTTATGAGTTGTCTCTTTAAAACTCCCCCTACTTTGGCCAGGCAAGGTGGCTCACGCCTGTAATCCTAAGACTCTGGGAGGCCAAGGCGGGAAGACCACTTGAGGTCAGGAGTTCAAAACCAGCCTGAGCAAGAGCGAGACCCTGTCTCTACTAAGAATAGAAAAAGTAGCCTTGTGTGGTTCCTGTAATCCCAGCTACAGGAGGCTGAGGCAGGAGAGTCGCTTGAGCCCAGGACTTTGAAGTTGCTGTGAGCTAGGCTGACACCACTACACTCTATCTAGCCCAGGTGACAGAGTGAGACTCTGTCTCAAGACAAAAAAAACAAAATTAAAAACAAAATTAAATAAATAAAAAGTAAAACTCCCCCCACTCTTTTGGGAAATTAAAACCTACCTTGTATAGTCAAATTCATAGATACAGAAAATAAAATGGTGGTTGCCAGGGGCGGAGGAGGAGGGAGTGGGAAGTTAGGGTTAAATGGGTCAGAGTTTCAGTTGGGGATGTGAGAAAGTTCTGGAGATAGATGGTGGTGATGGCTGCACAGCAGTGTGAATGTACTTAATGCCCGTGAGCTGTACGCTTATTATAAAAATGGTTAAATTGGTATGTTTTATGTTATGTATATTTTATCACAACTTTTACAAAGTATTAGCTATTGTGAGCTCTAGTCTCAAACAGCTGGAGGGTTTCTCTAGCGGGGAGGTGCAAACAATGTGGCAATTGCTATTTGCCCCATAACTCCGCCAGATACAAGTCATGCCCCCCCCCCAACCTTCTCAGTTACAGTAAGTCACCATTTCCCCTTTAAATCCAGTCCTATTTCTGTCATATGGAACAGGCAGCCTTGACGGTGCTTTGGAGTCAGGAAAGCTGGAGGACAAAGAATGGCAGCGCCGAGCCAGGGCAGCTCCTGGCCCTCGTCCCGTCCTCACCTTCGGCTACTGCCCTGGGGAACAAAGGTCCCCTGGAAGCTGGACTCCTGATGGGGAGCCACAGAGGTGGGTTCCCTTGGGGTCCCCTCAGACCTGCGCCCGGCAAATGGCAGATCCGGGAGGAGCAATGTTAAGGCCCCGGTCACTGCCGAGGTGGAGTGGTGGTGAGGGCCAACAGGGCCAATCGTCTGTGGCAGACGATTCTTACTTATAACCCAGCCAGTAAAATGCCTAGAACGAGGGCTCCGTCACTGGCTTTCACGGAAGGAAACACCTTTCATTTAATACATCTTTACTGAGCACATCTTTACTGAGCACATCAGCAAGACTTTAGAGCTGTCCTGCCAAGCCCTGGCCGCACACTGGGACCGCTCTGGAAACCTTAACAGACACTGATGCCTGAGCCCAAGCCCCGGAGGTTCTCATTTGACTAGTCTGGGTGTGACCGGGTACTGGGATTTTTAAAAGCTTTCCAGGTAATTCCAACATGCTAACCAAGCTTAAACACTGCTGCTGCTCGAAAGACTCACATAGGAAGGCTGTGTTCCCCGTGAGCAAAGTGGGAACGGTGGTACCAGAGGTAGAGTGAAAAGAGTCAAGGAAGCGCAGGCACCACGAAAGTGATGACGTCACGGGGGAAGTTCTCAGACTAGACGGGTTGCTGTTGTTTCCTGCTCGGTTCGTGCACACACGTGACACCAAGGCCCTGCCTCATGCATTGAAAACACGGTATTGTGTTACATAAAATAGTTCCCCAGTTGGCCACTTTTCTGCCACTCCTGGTGTCGGGGCTTCCCCCTCTGGGGCGTCCTGTGCCTTTTGAGAGGGGTGTGGTCAAAACAAGCCCTGTCACGTCCTGCAGGGGTCCGCTGACTGCAGAATGTCCCTGCTGCCTTCAGCTCCTCTGATGTGACACCAGCGCTGTCCGCTGTGATGGAGCGTGTCATGTGATGGAGTCTGTAGTCTCCTTTGTTTTGAAATCCACGTTTTGCAAGACACTGACTCACTTCCCTGAGCGTAATGATTTCTGCGGTTTCCCCATCAGGAAACCCCCAGGCAGCTCCCCCTCCAGGGCACCATTAGGCTTCACAGCAAGGTCCTGGGTTCTAACCGTGGCTCCCCCACGACCCGGATGGGGCCGCTTGTAGGGAAAGCAAACTGACGTTTCTGGGCTTTAAGAACTTCGCAGGAAAGGAGATGGAAATACAAAATGTGGTTAACCTTATTTTTTTTTTAATTTGAAGTCTTTTTTTCTTTTTATTTTCTTCTTGCATCTGATGAACAGCAATGTGGTTAACCTTAATTAACCGTAATTCAGACCTCTGGGGACAGCACCACGGTCTATTAATTTAAAAAAGGAAAGAGATCAGAAAACAGAACGTTTCTCCCAATTGTGTAGAAAAGTCAGATTCGGTGACTATTCTGCTGGATGGCTCTGTCCCTAACTAGCTTTTGTTTAGCCATTTCTTTTGTTCTAGACTCTTGAAAAAATGGCCATGGCAAGACAGGTAGGAGTCCTGCCTTTTCATGGAAACTGCTATGAGGTCTTCTCGGGGAAAATCATCACTGTTTTTGAACTATATATATATATATATATATATTTTTTTTTTTTTTTGAGACAGAGTCTCACTCTGTCAGCCCAGCTAGAGTGCTGTGGCATCAGGCAAGCTCACAGCAACCTCAAACTCCTGGGCTCAAGCAATCCTCCAGCTTCAGCCTCCCGAGTAGCTGGGACTATAGGCACCACGACTCCCGGCTAATTTTTCTATTTTTAGTAGACACAGGGTCTCAGGCTGGTCTCAAACCCCTGAGCTCAAGCAATCCTCCTGCCTCAGCCTCCCAGAGTGCTAGGATTACAGGCGTAAGCCACCACGCCTGGCCTTCATCACACTTCTGATTACAAAAATGTGTGGGCTTTTCCCACACCATTTTTCTGACACCAACTGGGTATCCTATAATTCAACTAAAATCTGACACTAGCTACCTGGAGTTAGCATCAGATCCCACAGGTTAAGGCTCAGCCCCACAAGACTGCCCACCTCCCAGGATCCAGCTGCAAGTCCTGGACCACTCCTTCTGGTGACCTGGCTGCAAATTGAGGGCTCCTACAACCCGCTCCTCGGGTTCGATCGTTTGCTAGAACGGCTCACAGAACTCAGGGAGACACATTTACTTGTTTATTATAAAGGATGTTACAAAGGATCCAGACAAACACTCAAATAAAGAGATACAGGGATGAAGTATGAGGGGGAAGCGGTGTGGAGCTCCCAGGCCCTCCCTGAGCACACCACCCTCCAGCCCCTCCACGCGTTGGCAACCCTGGAGCTCTCCAAACCCTGTCCTTTGGGGTTTTTATGGAGTCTTCATCACGTAGGCATGCTGATGACAACATCAGCCACTGGAGATCAACTCAACTTTCAGCCTCTCTCCCCTCCCCAGAGGTTGAGGGTGGGGCTCGTAGCCGAAGGTTCCAAGCTTCTAATCATGGCTTGGTCTTGCTAGTGACGAGGGAGCCCACCAAGAGTCACTTTATTAGAACAAAAGACACTTCTATCATCCAGGAAATTCCAAGGGTTGTAGGCACTCCATGCCGGGAGCTGGGGGCAGAGACCACACATGTAGTTTTTTTTCAGCATATTATGGGGGTGCAAATGTTAAGGTTACGTATATTGCCCTTGTGTATTTTTTACTATATCACAGTATCACACCTGCCTTCACAAGGAACCGTCTGCCAAGCCGAGCATCCTCACGTGTGTCCTTAGGCCCCTGTGCAAGAGACTTCAGGATATATATATAGAGGGAGACACACAGATATCCCTAGGAGAGGGTCATTGGTTACGTGGCGTACGTGCATGCTCTGCAGAATGGCTACACGGCCTACTCATGACACCAGTATTGTAGGGAGCTCATAGCCCACATCCCTGCCCCACTTGGTATCAACCCTAACCCTAACCCTATAATTTTTGCCAAATTGGTGAAAAACACTATCTCATCATTGGTTTAATTTACTATTACCTTATGAACAAGGAACATCTCTCACACATTTATTTAGGGCTTTAGGTTTCTTAATCTGCAAATTGTTCATACTCTTTGCCCATTTTTCTACTGCGTTCTTTCTCTTTGGTTGAGGTGTAAGAGTTCCTTGTAGGTATTAGTCCCTGCTTGGCTCTAGGTATTGCAATATACTCTCCCCATCTGTCATCGGTTTGTTACCTTTGACCCATTGCGTCCTTTGCCCTTTGTTTCACAGAGATCCTTTATTGGCGGGGAACCAAATGAATCATTTTTGTGTCTTCTGCTTTTGAAACTTCTGCTTTTGAAGTTTCTTTGAGAAGTCCTTCCTTGAAGATAGAGCATAAAGATTACCTTACAGAGTCTGTTAACGTCCTCATTTACATGTCACAGTTTGGGCTCCAATCTATCTGCATCCTGCTCTGTAAATGGTGTTCATCAGGGATCCAGTTTCCTCTCTGTTTGCTTGCTTTACTCACTGAATCTTCAGAACGGCTCTCCGGGGTACAGGAAGGAACTGAGAGCAGAGGGACAAAATGCCAGCAAGTGGCAGAACTCAAATCTGATTTGTTTTTTCAAATGTAAAATAGCAGGGCCAGGCCTGTCATGGTGGCTCACACCTGTAATCCTAGCACTCTGGGAAGCTGAGGTGGGCGGATTGCTCAAGGTTGGGAGTTCAAAACCAGCATGAGCGAGACCCCGTCTCTACTAAAAATAGAAATAAATTAATTGACCACCTAAAAATACATATACAAAAAAAAAAATTAGCCGGGCATGGTGGCACGTGCCTGTAGTCCCAGCTACTTAGGAGGCTGAGGCAGTAGGATCGCTTGGGCCCAGGAGATTGAGGTTGCTGTGAGCTAGGCTGATGCCACGGCACTCACTCTAGCCTGGGCAACACAGTGAGACTCTGTCTCAAAATAAATAAATAAATAAAATAAAATAGCAGGGCCATTTTCCAGGTCCCCAGGGAGGGATCAATGAAGCCCAGTGCACATGCAGATAGCCCCAGAGCAGGCAGTGTTAATTTCATAGTCGATGGATGAGGCTCTTGGTTTGGCCTCTTGGACTCAGCTCAGTGAGAAGTGTCAGAGAACGGCAGGAATGGCCACACCCCAAACCCCATCTCCAACCACTCCACCATATAGCCTACTCAAAAGTAGTCTCTCCTCCCTCAACTTTGGGCCTCCTTCTACTTCCTGTCCTAATATTTTGTGCTTGTGAATTCTAATAAATCATAATTGCTAACATGGAGTGAGCACTTTAATCGCCAGGTGTTAGAGGCAAGGACCCTCAAAGACCCTCAACTCCCCTATGACTCGTCCTGCGCACGGGCTTTGCCCTGGAAAATTCCAGCTATAGCTCCGAGAAGAATGCATTCCATGATGTGCTGACCACGGGATGCTCCAGGGAGTGCTGACTGCAATTGTTCCCAACCACCTGCCAGGTTGGAGATGAGTAACCAGTCACAAACAGGATACCGATAAGATGCTGATTGGGGCTGATTAACCCAGACCCAAGCCTCATCGTCGCCCCACTCTATTTTTCTGTTTCTACTTCCTTGTTTCTGTATGCTTATAAAACCTACAAAGAATCCAAGTAAAGTAGACCTTGACAACCCTTTGCTTGGTCTCATTCCTTTCTCTCGCCCATCTCTTTCAGGCATGATCCCCCTTGACCCCACGAGTAACAGAAGGTCCCACGGGCTGGGACAGCCAGGCACTAGGCATTTAGCATGTATTTACTCATTTAACATTCACCACCCTATGAGGTGGGTATTAGCATTGTACCCATTTTGCAGATTATAAACTAAAGGCCAGGGTTCTGTTGGTAACAGAGCGGGGGTATAAACCCAGGCCACCCGAGCACAAAGCCTGCACTCTAACCACTGTGTTAGAGTTACACTAACAGAATTATTCCCGGCTAAGGATCAATTCAGGAGCTCTCTCCTGAAGTGTGTTACACTCCAGCTCAGATCAGATATAACTTTCAGAAACTGTGAAATATAGATTAACCAAACTAGGCTCTGACGGTTTTACTTTGAGCGAACCCTGCCATGTGATACTCCAGCGTCCAGAATCACCTCAATGAACACTTGCAGTCATCTCAGTGGCCCGGTGGCCCGGTGACCTCACATCCCTGCTAGAGTCAAAGTCCCTGAACATCTTGCTCCGTGAAGAAAGCCCACCTAGTGCATGAAGTTGAAACTCTTCATCAAGTGGCAGTTCAGATAGCTGTAGAGCCCCATTTCCCAGCCCACCAGACAGCAGGGCGCTTGCCACCGTGTTTGGCACTTGCTCTTAGTCCCCTTTGTGTAACCAAAACCTGGGGACAGCAGCATGACCGGTATGACCGCATGACTGCTTCCCTGCTCCCGGGCCCATTGTTCTCAGACCCTTTTCTTCCTGCTCAACCATCTTGTTCTGACCCCTCCTGGTTCCCGCTCATTACCCTGAGCTTTCCCTCACCCTGCCCCTGGTCTCCGGCTTTGATCGCTTTCCTTCTCTGCCTCTTTCTTTCTCGTGCTGGAATAACACTGTGTCCCCCTGCCCTTTCTTCGTGCTTCTCTTTTCTCTGACCTTCAATCCAAACCCGCATCAGAGCTGGTTCTGCGCAATGCCCTTCTCCTTCCCTCCCATCCCGCCTCCCTCCGTGCCTCCCTCCAGCAGGCTCGCCACCACTCTGAGGGCAGCTTTCCCTCCTTCCCTGATCGTCCAGAGAGCCAAGGGAGGGGCAGCCTCCTCTGGTTGTGTGACTGTGGCTCTAAATGGTCTTTTTTATCACGTTTGGATGGAAGCCACAAAATAGCTCTGGCTGCTTCTCTCGGAAGATCTGATCGATTCCACTTTTTAACAGATCCTTGTTGGTATCACGTTCATTTCCTGGGAATAATCTGCTTTGTTGGCTCTTCCAGATACCCCTTATCACTTCAACTCCTCCCTTTGTCCTCTAAGTAGCCCTGGATCTCCCTCTCCGCCATGCCTTTGGGCGCATTTAATCCTAAGGCTGCCCCTCCGTGAGATCTTGCTGTTCAGGCACCTGCTGTTGCCAAAAACTCTGCAGCACCTCAGTTCCCTCCTTCCAGGGCCCGGACAGACTCACAGGGAAGGTGAGCAGGTGCTACAGGGCACTGGATGTGCCATCAGAGGCATACTTGGGTTTGGCAGGGGTTTCATTTGAAGGACACACTGTTAGGGTGGAGGGCTGGTGCAAGCAGGTTTGAGAAAAATTTCTCCAAAGATTAGGACAGGAAAAAGACATTTGTATTACTTTTCCCAAGGCGAGAAAAGGACCAACAAGGACCTCCTCCCAAGGAGAGGAAAAGCGTGTTGCAGGGAGAATCGGGTATTCGGGCTTTTTATTTAGGAGTTATAATAAAGGGGTGAAGATGATGGATGGGTGTAGCCGATTTACTGTGAACGTCCTATCTTTTCCGCAGGCAGATAACAACAGAGGTGGCTATGGGATGTCCAAGATCCTGTTGGCCATCTCCCCCTTCAGCTCCAATTTTGAGGCCTGGGGATTGCTCCCCTGCAGTGGGTCCTGGGGCCCCTCGGGAACTCCTTGAGGCTATAGAGACAGATTCTAAAGGGCAGAGGCTGGTGACAGTAAAGAGAAAGATTTGCATTTCCCTTCTGTCTTTGACTCTTTTCAGACTTTTGTGAAAACAGAGCCCCTGCAGGGAGCCTGCCAGCAAGGGAGAGAAAGAGCAGGGGTGGGGTGGGGGAGCTCCTGATGGATCCTTAGCTGTTATTAGGAAATCACGGGATTAGATCTTTTCTTATTATTTCACCAAGGCCGCCCCTTTCATATACTTCATTTCTGAACCTGGCCTCCCTCCCTCCACAGCTGACTCCAGCCACTCCTTACCTGCTCATAACTGTGGATGCCTTTTGCCATCAGCTCTGCTCATCCTGTCCTTTTCACTTCAAATCTCTGGACACCACCCCTCCACAGCTGAGAATGCCTCCATGCCTTTCCCACTACAAGCTCTTCCGGGGCCCAGCTTGAGTCCCACCTCCGCTGAAAAGCCTTCCCTGCTCTCTTCTCCCGTAGCCACCCCTGCAGTGCACGGCACTTGCATCCTTACCCGGACAACCTGAGACGGCTAGTACGTTGTGTATGTGTCTGTGGTTTTGTCTCTCTAGTAACATTCTTTGCTCCTTCAAGGCAAAGGACCAGGCCAGGCACAGTGGCTCACACCTGTAATCCCAGCGCTTTGGGAGATCGAAGCTAGAGGATTGCTTGAGCCCAGGAGTTTGAGAGCAACCTGGGCAACATAGTAAGATTCCTTCTCTACAAAGAAATAAAAAAATTAGCCAAGCATAGTGGCATGTGCCTATAGTCCCAGCTATTCAGGAGGCTGAGGCGGGAGGATCACTTGAGCCCAGGAGTTTGAGGTTGCTGTGAGCTATGATCACACCACTGCACTTCGGCCTGGGCAATAGAGTGAGACCCTGAAACAAAGAAAAAAAAAAAAGACAAAAGGATCACATTTTCAGCATTCAGATCTAGGTGGGCAGATGGGGAATGAGTTTGGAGCTGTAAGTAAATGAATCAGGAAGTCTGGACTCTCAGATCTCTCCCTTCTGCTACAGTCACATGCTACCTTGTCCCTCGGCCATCTATGTATGTGTGGCGGTTTCCCCAACTAGACCGAAGCACCTAAGGTAAGTGGGACATTGTTAGGTCCCGAGCAGAGAAGAAGACACACGAAGCCTCATGTGTAGCAAAATGCTGTTTATTTTGAGCAACTGGGTGCAGATGGGTGGAGGCCAAAGAGCATCCACAAGAGAAAAGGGGAGAGCTGTGGGTTTTATAGAGTGTTTCTCCGAGGAGAGTAAGTGGGCCAGCACAGCTGCTGTAATAAAAATTTTTTTAAAACAACCAATTCCTGGGCCCCCTGCACCTGTCTCATCCTGTAGAGATGTCCTATCAGGGGCGATAGGAATGCTGGCTGCAGCTAGCTGTTAGATTTACAACCATCCGGGAACTCTCCAGACTCCTGCAGCCATTATTTTACAAGCCTAAGTTTTCCATTAACTGTATTCCATCCTATATATACTTTTCGGGTTCCCACCTGGAACAAACCTAACAGACACGGCATCTCCAAAAGGACCTCACCCCATGTCTCCCAGAACCCAGCACCGAGGCAGGGCAGGTGCTCAGGCAAGAGCTGTTGGATTGGCCTGGAGGTCAGAAGCCACACTGACCTCCAGGCAGCAGGTAAACAAGGAATGGGAGGGCATGGGGTGAGGAAAGCACTCCGGCATCCACTTGTTGCAAAAATCACCCTTTTCATTTGTGAGTCCCAGAAGACAAGGCCTGGGCCATCTTGTATATTGGCCCCAGGAACCCCGGAGGAACTAGGTATTTGAGGCCATCATAGGGTACCGATGCCAACGACACAGGGCAGGGCTCTCGGTCCTGCGTGTTTGTGCCCTGGCTTTCCTGCATGTCAGAGCTGGCTGGAGTCTAGTTCAAGCACAGGATTGGGGACTCAAGTCTCAGGAAGGCCAGCTCTGCCATCCTGGGTCGGAGTGATGTCCTCCCTGGGCCTCTTGTTTCCACTTTAAGAAATCATATCACCGCCAGCTGGCACAGCTGCTCGCCATGCTGTATCTGTTTCCTACCGCTGCTGTGACAAATTGTCACAAACTTACTGGTTTCAAACAACACAATCTTATTACGGTTCTGGAGGTCGGCAGTCTGAGATGCGTTCTACAGGGGTGAACAACAAGATGTCAGCAGGGCCGTGCTCCTTCTAGAAGCTCTAGGGGAGAATCTGTCCTTTGCTTTTTCCAGCTCCTAGAGGCTGCCCATGGTCCTTCACTGGTGACCACATCACTCCAACTCCTGCTTTCATCTTTGTATCTCCTTTTGACTCTGACCCTCCTGCCTCTTTCTTATAATGACCTCTGTGATTTCATCAGCCCACCCAGATAACCTAGGACAATCTCTTCATCTCAAAATCCTTAACCATATCATCCTTAACCTAACCAAAGGTCCCTTTGCACATAATGTGATACATTCACAAGTTCTAGGATAAGGACCTCAATATCTTTGGAGGTCTTTATTCAGCCTATGTAATGCCCCACAGAAGGACAATCTCATTTTAATTATGAAATGTTTCAAGTTTACAGGAAAGTACAGAGAATAATGTAATAGAGACCTGTGTACCCCACTGTGTCCAATCTCGACCTTGCACCCTATTTGCTTCTTGAAAAGAATCTCAAGTAATAAAATGCTAAAGTAAAATACTGAGGATTCAGTTGAAGTCTCTTGTGTAGCTAGCTCTCCCCAACCTTTTCCTGTCTTCAAGAAAATTCAAACATTTCCTTAAATGTGGCCTTATCATCTGCATGCTTGGCTTTGTATTTTTAGTGTCTTTTTGCTGAATGCAAGTCATTGAGGTCCAATATATGATGCAACCCCATGGTAGTCACCTCCAGGAAGCTTCCCTGGCCCCACCCCTCCCACCCAGGCCACCACTTCACTCAGAGAGCACCAGACCCAGAATTGGGGTGAGAGGGGAGGCATGAATCAGCCATCTCCTCAGGGACAGCATGTCACCATGATGAGGGTAATTCTCCCATCCAAGCACTAACCAGGCCCGACCCTGCTTAGCTTTTGGGATGAGGCACGTTCAGGGTGGTTTGGCTGTAGACACTAATTCTAATATATAACGTGGTCTCTGAATGCAGGGCCACCCCCTCGCCTGTTGCTAGTGCAGAAGAAAGGGCCATCAGCTGCAAAGCTGGAGGAAACACCAGCTGAATCAGCTCCCTGTGGAGGAAACATATGACAGCTTCCCGCATGAGATTTTCACCTTACACCTTCACTTTGGAACTTAACCCTCACTCAAGACTTCTGTGCAGAGGGAGCAGCACATCACAGGGTGGTCTGGAGCACGTGGTTTTGCTGACGTATCAGAAGAGACGAGGTCCAGTGGGGACCTGACTCCGAAGGTCCCTGCGTGCCATGCTGTGGAGTCTAGGCTTTCCCTCCAGGTGACGGGGACAGTCAGCCTGAAGTAGGGGACCGGGTCGATTAACCTGAGTGGAAATTCTGGCCGTGGCCCTTCTTGGCTGGTGCAACCCCTTCTTGGACCCCTTCTCCTCATCTATAAAACCAACATAACTCTTCTTAGGCTTGTTGAGAGAACCAAATGAGACAATGTATGTAAAAATTGCCTGGCACACTGAAAATACTCACTAAATGACAGTCAGGCTTCTGTTTATTGCTATCAAAGGCTCACCCAGGGGAGACACAGAAGTTTTCTTCCCGGTTCATGCCCAGGCACAGGGAAGAGAGAATTCGTAGCCCCAGAGGCCTGTGGGCAGATCCTTTCTTGGCTCTCTCTGCAGAAGGTTCCAGGAAAGCCGGCAGGCACGGGTGGTGGGAATTTCCCAGCAGCTCAGCCTCCCAGGGAGCGGGGAGAAATCCCGACTCCCTCCCGCAGCTGCCAGCCTGGCCGGGTCCTCACTGCCCCAGCAGCAGTGTGGAGGCGACAGTGGGCAGGGGTGGCAGCTGATCAGCCTTCCCTACTCTACATAGCTCAGGGCAGAAATCCCCACCCCCACGCTCCCCCTCTCGCCCCGCCCCGCCCCCACACCGCATTGGAGCTGGCCCCCAGGAAGCCACGTGACTTCGTGACTTCGGGTGGCTGCCAGTCTCTGGAGGATTCTCCTGTTAGGTTGGGGGCTTACAGATCGGGCACTTGCGGGACTGCAGGATGGGAGGCAAAGCCAGCTGCCCCCCACCCCTGTCCCTCACCTGACGGGATTACTCATGTTTCTGAGAAGAGGCTCAGGGGCCAGGGCGCCCGGGGCAGCAGGTTCCCCAAGAACACAGAGCATCCTATTCGTGGGTGAAGGCTCAGAGCACTTGCCCTCAGGGAGGTGGCCGAGGAGCGGGGACACACAGGCAGTTAGTGGCAGAGCTGGGACCTGAGCCGGATCTCCTGATTTGGTCCACCGTCCATGGCCACTGTCGTCTCCCGCCCCTGCCCACCATCAGGTCAGGAAGCGCTCCCTGGTACCCAGTTCAGGAGAGGCACCCTTGACTCCTCAGGTGGCCAAGGCCTGGGGACTGGGGCTGGGGGACACCCTCAGGCTCCGCGGTGGGGAGAGCAAATATGGGCTTTACCCTAAGACTTCTCTGCCAGGAACTCCACCCAACCCCATCCTCAGCTCAACCCCCAGGCACAGGGACTTTCCTCCTCCCTTCACCAAATCTCCCATTCCAGGATAGAGAAGCTACCTCAACATATAGGGCTCTAAAGGGAGACCTCCCCCCTCTGGGAAAAAGCAGGACCTTATTGTCTCTAAAGTGGGCATGACTGATGTCACAGGAATGTATGCAGCTGCAAGTAACAGAAAACTTGACCAGCAATATCTAAAAGAAAAAGTTGTTTATTTTTCTCTTATAAGAAGATGACAGCTCTGGGCTGTGGTCTTTCTGGTTCTTTTATTAATAGCTTTCCCCTCATGGTTTCAAGATAGCTGCTGCAGCCCCGTACATCACATCCTCACAGCACATTCCGAGGCAGGAAGCAGGGGATGATACCAGGGGAAGAGTTCCTCACCTCCCAGATTTGCCTTTATCGGCAAAGAAAACTTTTTTTTCTTTTCTTTTCGTTTCTTTCTTCTCTCTTCTTCCTCTCTCTCTTTTCTTCTTTCCATGAAGAAGCATCCAGAAAGGGAAAGACTGTTTTCAAGAACCCAACAGCTGACCTCTCCTCACGTCATTGGCCAAAGACAGGTTATAAAGTCTTCCCTGACAAAGCCAGGAAGTATCTGGCCATCTCAGCCTCCACAGTGGGAGGAAGACAGGAAGAAAGTTTTGGGAATGACCCAAAGTACATGCCACAACTGACCAGCTCAAGGACTTGGCAGTGAGCAACCAGACTTAGGAATAAGTCTAACACGAGGCTGCGCCTCCACCGCCCACTGACAGCTTCTCTCCACTAGAAGGGAACCAGATTCTCACCGGTGGCCTCTCTTCGGTGGGATTATTTCTCACTCCTGCCCCGCAGACGAGGCACCCCCCACAGTGGCTGGATCTCAGGCTCCAGAGTCAGACAGACATGGGTTCAAGTTTCAGCTCTGCCACCAACGATGTGACCTTGAACGAGTCGTGTAACCTGAGCGTCCCACGAGCTTACTGAGAGGAGTCAGCGAGATAACGGATGCGCCACGCTTAGCACGGTGTCGGGCACACGGGAGGCGGATGTCAGCCATTGCTATTATCATCATTAACTCTAAACATTTTTATTTTTAAAATGATCATACAGTAAGAATGGCTTTTTAGGGGGCGTACAATTTTATGAATTTTTAACACGTGTATAGTTTCATGTAAGTATCACCATAATCAGAACATAGAACAGGTCTATCATCCTCCCCAAAACTTCATCATGCCATCCCTTGAGAGACTCCGCTTCCACCGTCACGACCCCTGACAACCACCGATCTGCTCTCCCCCCGTGTGGCTTTGTCCTCAGCAGTGTCGTGTAAATGGAATTTACAGTATGTGATCTTCTGAGACTGACTTCTTTGTGATTCATCCAAGTTGCTCTTGTACCACTAGTTCCTTCCTTTGTATTGCCTAGTGGTGTCCCATTGTGTGGATGCACCATCACCATGAACTTTGTATTGGGATAAAATTTACATCCCAGAAAATTCACCATTTTAACCATCTTAAAATGTAAAATTAGACACATCCCAATTTTAGCACCTTCAAAATGTTGTGCAATCATCATCACTATCTAATTCCAGAACATTTTTATCACCCCAAAAGGAAACCCCATATCCATTAAGTCACTCCCATGGTCCCCTCTCTCCAGCCCCTAGCAACCACCAAAGTCCTGTCTCTGTGGATTTGCCTATTCTGGATATTTCATATAAATGGAATGATATGATATGTGGCATTTTGTGCCTGGCATCTTTCACTTAGCATAATGCTTTCAAGATTCGCCTTCCCATCTCGGGCCTGGCAGAATGGCTCCCGCAAAGAAGGCTGGTGAGAAGATGGGCCACCAACAAGGTGGTGACCCGAGAATACACCACCAGCATTCACAAGTGCATCCATGGAGCCGGCTTCAAGAAGTGTGCCCCCTGGGCATGCAGAAAGACCCAGCAACTTGCCGTGAAGGAGATGGGGACTCCAGATGTTCATGTTGACATTAGGCTCAACAAAGCTGTGTGGGCCACAGGAATAAGGAATGTCCCATCCCACATCCATGTGCATTTGTCCAGAAAATGTAATGAGGTTGATGGTTCCAAACAAGCTCCACACTTTGGTTACCTATGTTCCTATCACCACTTTTAAAAATGTACAGCTAACATGGATGAGAACTAAGCAAAGATTATCAGATACATCAAATAAAGCTATAAAACCACACACACAAAAAATTCATCCATGTTGTAGCATCTGTCAGTACTTCATTGTTTTTTAGGGCTGGATAAAATTCCATAGTACCAATATAGCACATTTTGTTTACTCATTCACCAGTTGATAGACATTTTAGTTGTTTCAACCATTGGCTATTATCAATAATGCTGCTGTGAACATTCATCTGCGAGTTTTTGTTTAAACACTGTTTTCAATTCTGTTGGGTATATACCTATGAGCGGAATTGCTGGGCCATATGCTAATTCTTTTTCTTTTCTTTTTTCTTTTTCTTTTTTTTTTTTTCGAGACAGAGTTTCAGTCTATTGCCCAGGCTAGAGTGCCATGGTGTCAGCCTAGCTCACAACAACCTCAAACTCCTGGGCTCAAGCAATCCTCCTGCCTCAGCCTCCCAAGTAGCTGGGACTACAGGCATGTGCCACCATGCCTGGCTAATTTTTTCTATATATATTAGTTGGACAATTAATTTCTATTTACAGTAGAGATGGGGTCTTGCTCTTGCTCAGGCTGGTTTTGAACTCCTGACCTCAAGCAATCTGCCTGCCTCCCAGAGTGCTAGGATTACAGGTGTGAGCCACTGTGCCTGTCCCATATGCTAATTCTATGGTTAAATTTTAGAGAACTGCCAAAGATTTTTTTTATAGTGGCTGCATCACTTTACATTGGTACCAGCAATGTCTGAAGGTTCTAATTTCTCCACATCCTTACTAACACTTGTTATTTTCTATATTTCTAGTTCGAGCCATGCTAGTGGGAGGAAAGTAGTATCTCATTGTGTTTTTTACTTGCATTTCCCTAATGACTAATGATGTCGAACATAATGTGCTTATTGATCATTGTATGTTTTCTTTGGAGAAATGTTTATTCAAGGCTTTTGCTCACATTTTAACTGAATTGTCTGTTTGTTTGTTTTTACTTATTTGTAAGAGTTCTTTTTTTTTTTTTTTGAGACAGAGTCTCACTCTGTTGCCTGGGCTAGAGTGCCGTGGCATCAGCCTAGCTCACAGCAACCTCAAACTCCTGGGCTCAAGCAATCCTCCTGCCTCAGCCTCCCAGAGTGTTAGGATTATAGGCATGAGCCACCGCGTCTGGCCTAAGTGTTCTTTATATATTCTGGATCCTAGACACTTATCAGATATATGATTTGCAAATATTTTTCTCATTCTGCAGGTTGTCTTTTTATTTTCATGACAGCGGTCTTTGATGCACAAAAGTTTTAAATTTTAAAGTCAATTTTATCTCTTTTTTTTTCTCTTTTGTTGCTTACTTGTGCTTTTGGTGTCATATCTAAGACTCTACAGCCAAATCCAAGGTCATGAAGATTTACCCCTATGTTTTCTTCTGAGAGTTTTATAGTTTTAGCTCTCACATTTAGGTCTCTGATCCATTTTGAGTAAATTTTATATACAGTATGAGGTAAGTGTCTTTCTTTGTTTTGCACATGGATATCCAGTTATCTAGGACTATTTATTGAATGATCATGGCACTCTTGTTCAGAATCAATTGACATCATATGCACAGGTTTATTTCTGGACTCTCAATTGTATCTCATTGATCCATACCATTAACTTCTAAGGCATAAGAGCAAGAGCCCAATGAACACATGTCCAACTCCTTAGAGAGGCTAATAATGCAGAACACTCTTCTCACTGGACTGGATTGAACTGGGCAGATTTTGGGGTTCATGACAGATTTTGATCCAAAATATTCCCTCTGAACCTTGAACCTTGGTATGACTTCAGTTTCTACTTTATTCCCATAGGAGAAACTCTTCTGGGGAGGTGGCCATCCACTTGCTGAAAACTGCTTCTCCCTTTTCATCCCAACCAACTGTTCAAGTCAGATAAATGCAAATTGACTCTATGAGGTTTTGGCCTAGAAGTCACTTTCCCTGGGGAAAAAGGTACCTTCCCATCTTGTCAATGCTCTTCCTATCAACTTCTCATAAGTCCTCCGAAAAGAAAAGGCTCTCAGTCTAAATGTATGGTTGGGGGGCGGAGAAAAATGCTTGGTCCCCTGGGTGGTGGCGAATGGAAGGCACTCAAGCACCGATGACGGCTGGCGGAGGGGGGGGGCAGGGGGGGGGCGGCACTAGG